AAAAAAAAAAGGAAAAACTGCCATTATTCAATTATTATATGCATAGAAAACTTGAGACGAATTATTAGAAACTACAGAATTTCTGGATACACAACCAATATGTAGATCGACCATGTTCCTGTTACTAGCAGTGAATGGTTTAAAGCAGCAGTCTCCAACCTTTTTAGCACCAGGGAACGGTTTCCTCGAAGACAATTTTTGCATGGATGGGGTGGGAGTGGGGGGTGGTTTTGGGATGAAACTGCTCCACCTCAGATCAGGCAATCGATTCTTATAAGAAGCATGCAACCTAGACCCCTTGCACGCACAGCTTACAATAGGGTTCATGCTCCTCTGAGAATCTAATGCCACTCTGATCTGATGGGAGGCGGGGCTCAGGGGTAATGCTGGCTAGCTGGCTGCTCACCTCCTGCTGTGCCGCGGGTTCCTAACAGGCCACAGACGGATTCTGGTCCTTGGCCCGGTGGTTGGGGACCCCTGATTTAAAGTGTAATTTTTGCAGACAGCTTAACTTGCCTAAGGTCACACAGCTCTAGGAAGGGGTGAGCTGGGCTGGACCCCAGCTTTCTGCATGGGCTGTGCTACCTCCCTGGCATGGTTCACTTCTGTAGGGTGAATGCACCCTCGTGTGTGTCCATCCCCACCCAAGGGTGAGGGTGAGGGTGAGGCTGGGGCTGGCAGCAGTTTTCCTGCCAGCAGGGAAAGGCCCACCATGGGGAGGACTGAGGCCTGGAGCGAGGCAATGGTGACTGGCTGCATCTTCTTGTCCTCCTGGTTTGCTGGGGGCAGGATCTCCACGCGATGCATCTCTTCTTTGGCTTTCTCTCCCAAGCAAATCTGCGCGGGTTTGAAAATAGACAGAGGCCCCTCATCACCCTGAGGGCAGACGGGAGAAACCCATAGTCCTCTGTTGGGACCAGAAAGTCTCCGGACTCCATCCTCCTCCCCTCTTTTGGGAACACCGACCGTATGAAGCAACAGCCTGCAGTTCTGCTTCCCCTCCAGCTGGGGTCTGAAGGTCCAAGTCCGCCTCTCCTGACTGAGTTCGCAGCCTGCGGAGGAGAAAGGGAGGGAAGTGGGGCCCTCTATTCGTTCCCGAGAGAGGAGCTCACCTGGGCCCCAAGCTGCCGCGCACCGGAGGTGGGGCGTGGCTCTGGGAAGTAGCCTGAGTTCCCACTCACCCCAGAGCACGGTCGTCACTGCCTTTTCCTCCGTGCTGCTGGCGCTACTGAGATTCATGGCTCCGGGCGGAGAAGCAGGGTGGCCGGGCAGCTGCAAGGAGGGCGCCCGCGTGAGGCCTTGCTCCCTGACCCTGACCCTCGACTGGAGGATGCCAGAGGCCGGCAGGCATCGGCAGATACTGAGGCGTCGCTCGCGGCTGGAGAGCGTCCGCCACGGTCAAGGGCTCACCGCCAACTCCTGGAGGACTAGTACCCACCTCCCAGCGGGGCGCGCAGCCCGGGGCTCGGCCGGGCGCGGAGAGGACCGCGGGACTCACGCGAGAGGGAGCTGTCCACCGAGCCCAGGCTTGAAAGCCCGCGGGGAGGTCACCTGGCTGCGCTTGGGCCTAACTCAAAAGCCTCTGTGCACCTCCACCAGGCGCAGAGAAAGGGGTGTGCGCGCGGCTTAGGTCCCAGCTCCCCCCACTCAGCCTTACTGTCGCTGCTTCGCGCGGGGCCAGTCACGCCATTGGCGCTCCCGGAGCGCAGCGCAACCTCATCCCCGCTGGCCGGAGGGCTGCTGCCCAAGGTCGGGCTAAGAAGCCTTGGAAGGGGAAGGGCAGGTGTCCAATCAGCCGCAAAGAAGCCGCCTGCCTCTCCCCTTCCCTTCTCCCATTGTTTCCTCCTCTGCGCGGTAGAATCACCTGGAGGGCTGTTAATGTGCGCATCGCTGCGCCCCACTCCACAGCTGCCTTTGGCGTGGGTCTGGGTGGGGCCGAGGGAATTTGCTTTTCTAACCGGTTCCCAGGTGAAACTGATGATGCCGGCCCAGGACCCTTCGTGAGAACCGCTGTCCGAGCCAAAGAGGACCCGCCGAGGCCTACTGGCGACCCCTCCCCAGCCCATGGAGAGGAAACCTTAGCCCAACTTAGGAAGGGAGGCCTGCAGCTGACAGGAAGCGGCAGTTAGAAGCGCTCCTTGTTCGTTGCCTTTCTTCCTTTCCTTTCCCCATGCCTTATACAGCATGGGCCTTTCCTAAGGCCCAGACAGCCCGTCCTTCCAGTCTCCAATGAGAGAGAGCAAGCCCTGTCTCCAGAACGGTGAGATCTCCCGCGGAGAGCCACAGCCCGCAGGTGGGGTGGGGAGGGGAGCCGGGAGGCTCCGCGGCAGGGGGCGGGGAGCACACTGGGGAGCACGGCTAGCGACGCTACAGGGCCAAGCACGTGACCAGCAGCGGGTCCCAGGCTCAGTGGGCAGTGAAGAGAAGGGGGGGTTTCAGCGGATATACCCTGGAGACACCTCAGATAACCAGGGATCTCCCGCACACCTCTGGGGCAGGGGCTCATTGCCACGGAGAGGTCAGAATCTTTTATTCCTGGGAGCTGGGGTCAACCTCCCTGTGAATTGGCCAGGACAACCCAGGAGAGGCTTGGGGGCCTGCCAGGGCCCCCTAGGCTCCCTGTCCTCAGCTGAGCAGTTCCAGTCTCCTTGACAGTCCCTGAGATCTCTGTCCTTGGCAGGGGGCCTACTGGAGGTGACAGCCATTGCAGCCAAGTGTGTGGTAAAGATGAGCAAATTGCAGGCACATGCATGCCATGCACAGACGTTCAAGTATTCACTCAACAAACGGTGATTCCGCCAGCCGGGCGGGGTCTGTGCATCCCGCAGTGAATACGAAACAGCCCCTCAAAGGGCTTCCAGCCTCATTGGAGAGTAGGGCTCAAAGCAAACCGGTCTTCAGTGGCCCCAGGCCACCCTCCCCGTGAATAATCACACTGATGTGAGGCTGCAGCTGGGGTTCACAGTGAAGGCTAAATTGAGGCAGGGGAGGGGGATGACCCTGAGGTCATGACCTAGAGCTGGGAGACTGGAACTGGACAGTCTGGGTTCAAGTCTGGACTCTGTGATTTCAGGTGTGTTAATTCATGTCTCAGTGCCTCAGTTTCTTCATCTGCTAAATGAGGCTATAATACTGGTACCATCCTCATTAACTTTTTTTTTAACTGATACATAGTAATGGTACATATTTACGGGGTACATATGATATTTTGATACTTGCACACAATGCGTAATGAGCAAATCAGTGTAACTGGGGTATCCATCACCTTCAACATTATTTCTTTTTTTTTTTTTGGAGACAGAGTTTCACTCTCATCACCCAGGCTGGAGTGCAGTGGTGTGATCTCAGCTCACTGCAACCTCTGCCTCCCGGGTTCAGGCGATTCTCCTGCCTCAGCCTCCCGAGTAGCTGGGTTTACAGGTGCCCACAACCATGCCCAGCTAATTTTCATATTTTTAATAGAGATGGGGTTTCAGCATGTTGGCCAGGTTGGTCTCGAACTCCTGACCTCAGTGATCCTCCTGCCTCGGACTCCCAAAGTGCTGGGATTACAGGCGTGAGCCACTGGGCCTGGCTAAATGTTTATCATTTCTTTGTGTTGGAAACATTTCAAGTCTTCTAGCTATTTTGAAATATACAGTAAATTATTGTTAACTATAGTCACCGTACTGTACTATCAACTTATTTTATTATTATTTCTTATTTCAACTTATTTCTATCAAATAGTATGTTTGTACCCATTGATCTCTCTCCATCCCTCCACCCCTTCCCAGCCTCTAGTATTCCATCATTCTACTCTCTAATTTCAATTTTTTTTTTTTTTTTTTTAGCTCCCACATGAATGAGAGCATGTGAAATTTATCTTTTTGTGTCTGGCTTGTTTCACGTAACATAATGACCTCCAGTTCCACCTATATTGCTGCAAATAAGAGGGCTTCCATATTTTTTTTATGGCTGGATATATTCCATTGTGTATAGGTACCACATTTTCTTTTTCCATTCATCTGTTGATGGACACTTAGGTTGATCCCGTATCTTGGCTCTTGGAATAGTGCTGCAATAAACAAGGGCGTGCAGATATCCCTCCTTTCCTTTGGATACTGATTTGCATTATGGAAAGCAGTATGGAGACTTCACAAAAAACTAAAAATAGGACTACCATATGATCCAGCAATCCCACTACTGGGTTATTTATCCAAAGGAAAGGAAATCAGATACTGATTTCCTAGGAATCAGTATTTCTAGGGTTATTTATCCCAGTAATGGAACTGTTGAATCATGTGGTAGTTCTATTTTTAGTTTTTTGAGAAATCTCCATACTGCTTTCCATAATGGCTGTACTAACTTACATTCCCACCAACAGTGTATAAGAGTTCCCTTTTCTGCACATCCTCGCCAGCATTTGTCTTTTTGATAACAGCCATTCTAACTGAGGTGAGATGATATCTCATTGTGGTTTTAATTTGCATTTCCCTAATGATTAGTGATGTCGAGCTTTTCTTTTCTTTTCTTTTCTTTTTTTTTTTGAGACAGAGTCCTGCTCTGTCGCCAGGCTGGAGTGCAGTGGTATGATCTTGGCTCTCTGCAACCTCTGCCTCCTGGGTTCAAGCAATTCTCCTGCCTCAGCCTCCCGAGTAGCTGGGACTACAGGTGCGTGCCACCATGCCCAGCTAATTTTTGTATTTTTAGTAGAGACAGGGTTTCACCATGTTGGCCAGGATGGCCTCATTCTCTTGACCTTGTGATCCTCCCTCCTTGGCCTCCCAAAGTGTTGGGACTACAGGTGTGAGCCACTGCGCCCAGCTGAGCATTTTTTCATATGCCTATTGGCCATTTGTTTGTTTTCTTTTGAGAAATGTCTATTCATGTCCTTTGCCCACTTAATATTATTATTTGTTTTTTGCGGTTGAGTCATTTGTATTCCTTGTATATTCTGGATATTAGTCCCTTGTTAGATGAATAATTTGCAAATATTTTCTCCTATTCTGCAGGTTGTCTCTTCACTCTGTTGACTGTTTCTTTGCAGTGCAGACGTTTTTGGTTTCATATAGTCTTATTTGTCTATTTTTGTTTTTGTTGCCTGTGCTTTTGCAGTCTTAAGCCATAAAATCTTTGCCTAGACCCATGTCCTGAAGCATTTCCCCTAGGTTTTCTCCTAGTAGTAGTATAGTTTCAGGCCTTACGTTTAAGTCTTTAATCCATTTTGAATTGATTTTTGTATGTGATGACAGATGGAGTCTACTTTTCTTCTTATTATCAATATCCAGTTTTCCCAGCACCATTTATTAAAGAAGATGTCCTTTCCCCAATGTAAGTTCTTGGTGCCTTTGTCAAAAAATCAGTTTGTGATAAGTACATAGATTGATTTCTGGGTTCTCCATTTTTTCCGTTGGTCTGTGTCTGTTTTTATACCAATACCATGCTGCTAGGTTACTATAGCTTTGTAGTGTATAATATTTATATTTATATTTGAGACAGGGTCTTGCTTTATCTCCCAGGAGTGCAGGAGCAATTTCAGCTCACTGCAGCCTCCACCTCCTAGACTCAAGTGATCCTCCCACCTCAGCCTCTGGAGTAGCTGGGACTATAGGTATGTGCCACAATGCCTGGCTACTATTTTTTTTTTTTTGGTAGAGATGGGGTTTCTCCATGTTGTCCAGGCTGGTCTCAAACTCCTCTGCTTAAGTGATCCACACACGTTGGCCTCCAAAAGTGTTGGGATTACAGGCATGAACTTGCCCACCCTGTAGTATGTTTCGAAGTCAGGTAGGGTCATGCCTCTACCTCTATTCTTTTTGCTCAGTATTGCTTTGGCTATTTGGAGTCTTTTGTGGTTCTATACAGATTTTAGGATTGTCTTTTCTGTTTTTGTGAAGAATGTCATGGTATTTTCACAGGGATTGCACTGAATCTGTAGATTGCTTTGGGTAGTATAGCCTTTTGAATTTAATTTTATTTCTTATTTTTAAATTTTATTTATTTTCTATTTTTGAGGCAGAGTCTCGCTCTGTTGCCCAGGTCGGAGTGCAGGGGTACGGTCATAGTTCACTGTAACCTTGAACTCCTGGGCTCAAGCAATCCTCCTGCCTCAGCCTCCTGAGTAGCTTGGACTACAAGGTGTGTACCACCACGCCTGTCTAATTTGTAAAATTTTTTTGTTGTGTCTCACTATGTTGCTCAGGCTTGTCTTGAACTCCTAGGCTCAAGTGATCCTCCCTCCTAGGCCTCCCAAAGCACTGGGATTATAGGCATGAATCATTGTGCCTAGCCCTAGTATGGCCATTTTAACCATATTAATTTTTCCAGTTCATGAGCATGGGATGTCTTTCCATTTTGTTGTGTCCTTTCCAATTTCCTTCATCAGTGTTTTGTAGTTTTTGTTATAGAGGTCCTTCACTTCCTTAGTTAACTTTTATTCCTTGGGACTTTATTTTTTGTAGCTCTTGTAAATGGGATCACTTTCTTGATTTCTTTTCTATTTTATTATTGGTGTATAGAAACACTACTGATTTTCATATGTTGATTTTGGTGTCTTGCAACTTCACTGAATTTGTCTATCAGTTCTAGGAGTTTTTTAGTGGATTGTTTAGGCTTTTCTATACATAAGATCATGTCTGCAAAGAGAGACAATTTGACTTCTTTTCCAATTTCTTTTTATTGTTTTATTTAATTAATTAATTTTATTTTTTGAGACGGAGTCTCACTCTGTTGCCCAGGCTGGAGTGCAGTGACGCGATCAATGCTCACTGCAAGCTCCACCTCTGGGGTTCACGCCATTCTCCTGCCTCAGCCTCTCGAGTAGCTGGGACTACAGGTGCCCCCCACTGCTCCCAGCCAATTTTTTTGTACTTTTAGCAGAGACGGGGTTTCACCGTGTTAGCCAGGATAGTCTTGATCTCCTGACCTCGTGATCCACCTGCCTTGGCCTCCCAAAGTGCTGGGATTACAGGTGTGAGCCACTGTGCCCCGCCTATTGTTTTATTTTATTTTGAGACAGAGTCTTGCTCTGATGGCCAGGCTGGAGTGCAGGGGTGTGATCTTGGCTCGCTGCAATCTTTGCCTTCTGGGCTCAAGTGAATCTCCTTCCTCAGCCTCCTAAATAGCTGGGATTACAGGTGCCCGCCACCATGCCTGGCTAATATTTGTATTTTTAATAGAGATGGGGTTTCACCATGTTGGCCAGGCCGGTCTTTAACTCCTGACTTTAAGTGATTGGCCACCTTGGGCTCCCAAAGTGCTGGCATTACAAGCGTGAGCTATTGAGTCCGGCCCCTTCTTTTCCAATTTAGAAGCCTTTTATTTCTCTCTTACCTGGTTGTTCTGGTTAGTACTTATAGAACTGTGTCGAATACGACTGGTGAAGGCCGGCAT